ATATATTAAAAACATACATTTTCATTTAGACATTCTATTTCGATATGTTCAAAATAACGTCAACTTAAATTTACCCTTAAAGTCACATTTCATCTGTGCATGCGTCGTTGACATGATAAACTGATCACTATAGTAACACTATATAATCATGTCAGACCCGGAAGACCAGTGTGCCAGTGGACCATGCCAAAATGGCGGGACCTGCACAGACGGACTGTTTTCGTATTCCTGTACTTGCGTCTCTGGATTTAGCGGGAGCAGCTGTGAAATCGGTTGGTAAATTGCTCTCATTTTAAGACACTTTTAACGTCTGACATATTACTTGATTGACCTCCGTGTTTTTAATTAATTCAGGTGTTTACGGAAATACACTGCACGTTACTCATTTCATCCATTTTATTCATGCATATATGTACTTATGGATCAACTCAACCAAGCTGCAGAATTGGTATTTTCTTCAACACAATTGTTATCATTTCTGCAGTTTTAGTCGTGCCAACTACGCAGGCACCAACGACTCAAGCACCGACTACGCAGGCACCAACGACTCAAGCACCGACTACGCAGGCACCAACGACACAAGCACCGACTACACAGGCACCAACGACTCAAGCAGCTACTACCCAGGCACCAACGACTCAAGCAGCGACTACGCAGGCACCAACGACTACCCAGGAATCCACCACCAGTGATCCAAGTAAGTTGAAAGGTTGCATTAGTGAGGTAATGCCCATGCATATGCCCAAATTTACAATTGACAGCAGCACTGCTGTTTTAGTGTACTCCGTATTTTGATAACGATGCAAACCAAAACAAAATCGAGGACACTCTCCTATTGCGCTATTTGCCATTCCTGACGAAGATAGCCGTGGTAATGAGTGAAAGATGGTCGCACAGCCTAGGTAGAAAAAACGATAACCTATACGTTATCCTTGTGATGGCGATCAAACCGCTGTTGTTGTTTGAAAAAAAACGCCGCTCTTGACATCAAAACAAGCCACGACCCCTGAGTAACGAGGGGAATATTAGAAGTTTAGAAGTTGTGTTGATAGACAGTTAATGTGTGAAGTGTTTATAATCATTTATCCCATCAATAACAACACAATAATAATATTATGTTATTGTTGACCAGAATTCGTGTTCCTTTGACACAGGAAAAAATGACTTCACTACAGATAGCGTTTTGAAAATAGATGGCAGTTATGTCTTTATCGTTTATAACAAGTTTCCATTTAATCTAGTTTCAGCAGACATCACGGTTAGCACGTTCTATAAATATAATGCTGTAAGATCCACTTCCTTGAAATGATACCTTTGAACTAACATTGGTCTATAACAGAAGTTCTCTAATTGCTAATTGAAATAGTGCCCAATATTCGTCACTTATTGTGGATGTCATAAAGCAGCCGTTAATGAACATACCGTAAATTTATTTACTGCTTTAGTAAAATAGTGATCAACTTCTCTTTTACTCGGCTGGCAGACGCTCATGCATACAGTATATGCGTCTTGAGAAATAACATCGTCTTTCATGTTTCTTCGTAGTTACGCCTGGAGGTGAAATGTTCGGACAAAGATCAAAAGAAAGAAAATGGTTCAATAAAAATAATGAAGAAACAACTGATTTACAGAACATTTCTGAAAACTAATTTGGTAATATTTGTTTGATTTATCAAAGATTGTTTGATTAAGAATACACACAATAATAATCTCCCAAGCATTCAGACAAACGCAGATATTGTCGCTTATTTGATCAACGTATATCATTGTCCTGCAATCATTGTGGAAATGGGGATTATACAATAGCCAAAAGGAATGCCAATTATTGACAGTACTCAGTAATAGTGTGGAATCATGAAGATTGTTTTAAGTAAATTTGGCAACAACACGAGGCTTTTATGCCTTGACTGTGCTGAATGGTGATTGTTTGCAGAACAATCAAGTTGTAAATAATATATGAGTCTTAGGCCATGTCGTTGTTCTGGGGGGGTCTGTTAGGGTTATCGGCAAAGCAGGGTTGTTGACATGCAACTGATGAATGTATAATGCCCGCACGTAACTACGGTTACTTTATATATATATATATATATATATATATATATATATATATATATATATATATATAATTGATCCCTATTTTATATATATATATATAGCAATACTTATAGATATACTGGTCCTCCGCTGCTCTCCGTCAATAGGTGTCTAACAGTCACAGTGTATGTACATGTATGTATGCTGTGTTCAGAATAGAAGTTATCGTACTAACAGGATCGATCTATCACAGTGTGGATTCTTGTTTACAAATGCGCTTGTGATTTTAAGTACTTGGGTAAATTTGGGAAACATTTTTTCGGTCCATGATGTTATTTATGTTGTTATGAGAGGGGGCGTGCCAGACAAATTAGCATTGACAGCACCTTAGAGAGAAGATAGATCGATCCTGCTAGTACGATAGTATGGTAGTACGGTATTCAGAACACAGCCTATGTCGGCGGCACGAGCTCATCCTAGCGTCTTCTTGTCGGCTGTCTATACTGGTAGACTTATCAGTAATTACCCCATGTAGAAGTTCTTATCAGCGCTTGTGAAATCATTGAGCGCACACTGATCAGTGCGGAATACAAACACAGTATATGCATATACATGAAATAGCTTCTCCGTGCTTTTTCTAACAGTCCACGATTTAACTATAAAACAGTTGTCTCTCCTTCGCCAGATTTTGATATAAAATATTAATATCAAAAGAACAAAAACAATATATATATATATATATACACCCCGACGTAAAGTTTCAACAACCCTTGTATAAAATGGTCTGCGTATCAAACATCTTTGAGAGCATTCACATCGAGAAGAGCCGAGGTCTAGCAAGGCCGAGACCTAAATATGGCGGACCTACATGAAAGAAAGACCACATAATCCTTTAATGGTCTCTCTGCCTCTCACACGGCTCCCCACGCGTCGTCCCTCGACCGGTTGAATTGAGCCGAGATTTAATCAGTGTGTCCCTGCAGGGACGACGCGCGGGAAGGCGTATGAGAGGCGGAGAGACCATTAAAGGATTACGCGGTTTTTCCTTTTATGTAAGTCCGCCATATTTAGATATCGGCCTTGCTAGAACCTCGGCTCTTCACGATGTGAATGCTCTCTTTAAGATTGAAGATTACATTTGCACTCGCTCCGCGTGATGAAATTGTCCTTACTATTTTCTTTTTTTTAAATTGTAAGAGCTACGGGCTACATCGAGTATGTCTACATTACATAGCCTTAAATCCGTAAGATTCCGTGCTATTTCGCACGGCCACCGTCTACGCTCAGACGCCATACGAAAAGGGTATCGCGGGCAGTATACGTGCACCGTACGGGCATCGCATTTCAAACGTAATCCAGGCTTTAGTAGTGTGTGCACTGGAGTCGACACTTGGCCGCTAAAACCAGTGGACTCAGACTACCACGTGGAATGACACTAAGCCAGGGGGTCAGTCTAGAACGCATCAAATGATAAACAAACCGAATGATGGTTTTTATTTCGGTTGAATAAACGATATTATTTATTCAATAAATATTTCAACACAACTGTTATATTTCACAGATTTACCCACCTCAGATGACACCGTCTGTCCGAGCGGCTGGTCATTTGGACGCCAGGGCAGTTGTTATCAGTTGCTATTTGACCGTGCTGACCATTACGACTACAGAGAGGGCTGCACTGCCCTAGGGGGTTACCTGGCAGTGGTCAGCTCTCAGGAGGAGCAAGAGCATGTCGTGAAAATCATGAAGGTACGCCACTGCCCTGTGTCCACGATTATTGCCATTCCAGTTTTATATTAAGTTTTCAAAAATGATGACCACCAGCTGTCACCAACGTGGAGGTTTTTAGAGTGTTTAATCTGACACTTACTGTTTCCGTCACCAGTAACAACTGTTGTTGAATTCACTTTTACTAAGGAGAAACAGTCGTGTGCATGCAAGCACATGCACGCACACAAACTGCAGCACATGTATGTTATACTAGATCTATCGTAGATAAATACACAGAAGTGGTGACGTTCTTAAACGTTACTGTTACATTTTTTGCGATATTTTTATTTTATCAGTCCTTATATATATTTACATATGCGCAAACAAACACAGGTGTATGATGTAGAATGTATCATTTTCAGTCTAATACATCAACGGTTGACGTGATATCAGGGATGTTCGACCCATCCTATAGCATGGTATATACTGGAGAAGACGGCTCTTATCTGTCCTACTCCGCCTGGGATGCCGGCAACCCGGACACCAGTGGGCTGAAGACACGGGTGCTGTTTAAGAAGACCGCAAACTTCAGCTGGATCAATGCAGAGATTAGCGGTGGTCCTAACGGAGCTCTGTGTGAGACCAACTACGGTATGTGTTACCTTGTATATTCTCTCACGAGGATTTTAGGCACACCATTATTGTTGTCTTGATTTTCGAGGCACGTTTGATTTTTACTGTAATCAATTATTCGATCCAAAATTCATAAAATTTAATTTTCGTATGCAAAACAGCAAATTTTGTGCAACTATTTCGAGACACAAGTGCCAGTGATTCCCCCCCCCCCCTCTTCCCGTCTGTCTTTGTCAATTTTCCAACGTTAAGTCCTTTGTAGATAGAAATTCACTTCTCTGGGTTTTGTTTGTGATCGAGTGTCAAATAGTCCTATGTACGCAGCATGGTGGCCTCGTATTTGTTGAACTCTTCTGACGTCTGTTCATGTAGGTAAATTAATCCCAATACTTCAATTATCTTTGAAATAAAAATACATATTGTATTGTATATTTGATATCTGGGTATTACACAAACGGAGTTGCGAGATACCAGTATTGGGACCGATGAATGGTTCCAAAAAGGGAGATATAGCCAGCACACATCACCTTTTATGTACTGTTTGTATTAATGCTGTCGCATGTACAAAAGAAATGACTTAGAAAGTTATTATTGTAACCGCGCCTCATGTCTGTTATTCTAGGATTTGACGGGTGTTACAACAATCCAACGACGCACGTTGCCAAGATCTCGCATTCTCGGTTCATGAACAGTCTCCAGTGTATAGAGTACTGCCGTGGTCAGGACGTCCCCATGGCTGCAGTGTCCGGGGCAGACTGCTACTGTGTGGTCAGTCAACCCACTGGGAGGCAGTCCCCCAGTGACTGTCACCTCGGCTGTCCTTACAACCCGGTCCAGCATTGTGGTGGAACCAATAAGGCCAATGTGTACTATGTCGGTTAGTAAGTCTAACACGTTTTTTTTTTTTTTTTTTTTTGTTCCTGTGTCCTTCCTTGTCCACACAGTCAAGCTTAGCGCTAAAACGACTCTAATTAAATAATGATAAAAATGACACTCAAAACACTCCAAATTTTACTTTGACTCAATGCAACTTGAAAAAATGGTACTAAGTGTGGCTGAATTCCGGTTCATACTCGTGCAGTCTGCTTACTTATCTATCTGGTCACTGTGCAGGGTACTACTACAGCCGCGCTGTGTCCTGCAGGCACCTGGCAGACCAAGGGGTGCTGTTAGCGGGCACATACTGGGTGCAGGAACAGGCGGGCCGAACATCGAGGAAAGTACACTGCAATAATAACGGTAATTAGCGTTGAGTATGATCTAATATACGTGTTTTTTATCGAATAATACTTCGTTTTAGATAATTAACATTATGGCCTTACATTGGCAAACTTGAGGTTTGATAAATCATAAGATTGGCCGATGGACGCTGAATCTGAGCCCGATCAGAGAAAAAATTCAAATAAATCAGACGACAACAGTGTTAGATTACGGCTATGTTGCAACTTAAGCTGTTACTTGAAGGATATTGACATTCAGGTACTAAATTATTTTATAAATCAATTATATACTTGCTTTGGGTCAAAACGTTGTTTGGAAGACCTTTGATAAGTGATGTAATCATGTGATATCATTTACAATAACGTTGTAGGTCCATGCCATAAACCACTGCTGCACTCTTACGTGAACACTTTAATAATTACGACATCTTCGAACTCCAGTGACGGCAACTATACAGCAGGCAATGTGTTGTAAGTTACAGTGCCTTTAGCTCACTATTTATGTGGTTTATCATGATTCCGTTATGATTTACATGGTTCAATTGTTATTTTTAACATGGTTTATTACGGTTCTGATATAATTTACATGGTATGTTATGGTTTTGTTAATATTAACATGGTTTATTATGATTCCGTAATTATTTACATGGTTTATTGTGGTTCTGTTACTATAAACTTTGTTTTGCTGTTGTTTTATTATTATTTACATGGTTTGTTATGGTTTATTATGGTCCTGTTATATTTTACGTAGCTTATAATGGTTCTGTTTGATAACATGACTTGTTTTATTATTATCTTAATGGTTTATTCATTAAATGAGAGAACCCAAATTGCAAAATTCTGTTGGTTTGCTGCATAAAGTGATTGGTTTAGTTGAACATCTATTCTGGACCTTTCGTTAAATCAGCGGAGCCTGTGTGACAGGAATGGTATCCCGGGTTTACATCTGATTAGTAAAGGTTAGGGATAGCCTGGGGTCAGTACATGTACAAATGGGGCAAATGTCTCCTGCACAAAGTAGTGTGAAACAGACTGCGGTTTCTAGCGGACTACCATTCCTGTCATACCGTTCGATTTCTACACCGCAACAGTTGGATACCCGGTGCCATATTGATCATTAGTGAGCCCAGTCTTGACTGTCTATTCCAGCCTCTACGGCCTGTTTGGTGTCGGCTTTGAGACGGGAGATTCCAACCCCTGGATCCAAGTGTCCTTCAACGAACTCTTCATATTTACCGGCGTCGCGACTCAAGGTATAATGCAACTTTTATTGCCTCGATGTAAAGTTTCTGGTCGGAATGTGATAAAGGTGCACTAATATCAGTGGGTGTCGTGTAAGGGAAAACGTTAAGATAATGCATTAGCGCCCTGATAATTTGCCCTTTCTGCCATTTATTAAGAAAGCCACTTCTCTGTTAACTATGTTGTTTTTATAATTGTTATCAAATAATATGTTATTCCACGAAAATTTGGATAAATACGTGTAGATATGCATGTAACATGAGGGTCAGATAGAATGCATTATTAAAAAATGATAAGATATTGATAGAATCAAGATCAAAATAAAATGCTGTTATAGTAATTAAATAAACAAATCAAAGACTTTTTTAATGTGATGGTTAATGTATAATAACAGGTGCCAAGGATGTCGACAATATACAGTGGGTTGGAGGCTACACCATCGACTATAGCGAAGACGGCATGAACTGGACACATTACGACAACGGCAGTCAGGTAAAATTATTCTTGGAGGATCCCTTGAGTCAGTGGAAGAGGGTATGCATGGTATATATGTCGGCAGGGTCAGTGGAAGAGGGTATACATGGTATATATGTCGGCAGGGTCAGTGGAAGAGGGTATATATGGTATATGTCTGCAGGGTCAGTGGAAGAGGGTATACATGGTATATGTCGACAGGGTCAGTGGAAGAGGGTATACATGGTATATGTCGGCAGGGTCAGTGGAAGAGGGTATACATGGTATATGTCGGCAGGGTCAGTAGAAGAGGGTATACATGGTATATATCGTCAGGGTCAGTGGAAGAGGGTATTCATGGTATATGTCGTCAGGGTCAGTGGAAGAGGGTATACATGGTATATGTCGACAGGGTCAGTGGAAGAGGGTATACATGGTATATGTCGGCAGGGTCAGTGGAAGAGGGTATACATGGTATATGTCGGCAGGGTCAGTAGAAGAGGGTATACATGGTATATATCGTCAGGGTCAGTGGAAGAGGGTATTCATGGTATATGTCGTCAGGGTCAGTGGAAGAGGGTATACATGGTATATGTCGACAGGGTCAGTGGAAGAGGGTATACATGGTATATGTCGGCAGGGTCAGTGGAAGAGGGTATACATGGTATATGTCGGCAGGGTCAGTAGAAGAGGGTATACATGGTATATATCGTCAGGGTCAGTGGAAGAGGGTATTCATGGTATATGTCGTCAGGGTCAGTGGAAGAGGGTATACATGGTATATGTCGACAGGGTCAGTGGAAGAGGGTATACATGGTATATGTCGGCAGGGTCAGTGGAAGAGGGTATACATGGTATATGTCGGCAGGGTCAGTAGAAGAGGGTATACATGGTATATATCGTCAGGGTCAGTGGAAGAGGGTATTCATGGTATATGTCGTCAGGGTCAGTGGAAGAGGGTATACATGGTATATGTCGACAGGGTCAGTGGAAGAGGGTATACATGGTATATGTCGGCAGGGTCAGTGGAAGAGGGTATACATGGTATATGTCGGCAGGGTCAGTAGAAGAGGGTATACATGGTATATATCGTCAGGGTCAGTGGAAGAGGGTATTCATGGTATATGTCGTCAGGGTCAGTGGAAGAGGGTATACATGGTATATGTCGACAGGGGCCGTGGAAACTTGAGGCACATTCCATCACGCAAAATGAAGCAAAGGAAGAAAATCCGTTACTTTAGAACCATATAATGTGATTTACGGATATAATTATCGTGTGCAGTCACTATAAAACAGGTAGCTTTTTAGCAACAAAACAGACGCTGTTAATATATATGTATATTTATGTTGTACAGTTAGAAGGCAACACTCATTTCAACGAAGTGGTCCTGAATACATTCAAGTTCCCGCTCCTGGCCCGTCACGTCCGTCTGTCTCCCACCACCTCCATCTGTCACAACAACTGCAGTCTGCGCATGGAGTTGTACGGGTGCAAGTACGGTGCTTTTGACCGTAAGTACTGACTGATTAAATGTTTGATAATTGTACCGGAGGACCGGTAATACCGTATACACTTACTCGACCAGATATTCAGAATCAGTCTGGAAAATACTTTCCTAATAGATTCAAACCGGGACGTTTTCAACCTTATTGAAATCTTTGCATACCTGAAGGTTCAATATAGTGTACATGGTTTCATTTTTAACTCGACACGAACCCGACGTTTTACAAAAGTGCCGATATATATATAGCCTTTCTGTACCATGTACCCAGAATGAACAAGGTAAAATATGGACAGGCTGACCAGCACGCCCAGTTAGAAGACCATACAGTAACTGGGGTCAAAGTGGGAGACATGAAGCTCACTCTGTCAGTTAATGGGCTGGCAGAAGGTGTGGCAGAACATGACACTTCCCCCGTGTGACCACCAGCTGGGTGAACTGGTCGGGGTGTCCCTAGGGGAAATAATAGACATCTTCACAAACCCTGATGATCAGTTGATTACAGTCCTTTTAACTTTCTCTCATAAACTGCCATGTAGGACTCCTATGTTTCTACCTATCAATTATTTTTCTGGACAGATGGCGCCAGTTACGTAGGCTGTATAATAGAGACCAGGAACCCAAACCTAACACCCGTCATGGAGCGTGATATGTCCACAAACTGCTCCACACCTTCTGTCTGCGTGGACTTGTGTAGGGACAATGGTTATCTATATGCTGGACTCAGTGAGGGTAAGGCACAGTAAAACCACACCAAAACCAAATCAAAAACCAAAACGGGTGCATCTCGCTGTGGCCTAGCTGGCCAATGGGTTGTTTAATGATAAACACCCGAGCAGAGCTCTTCACTGCTTCTACACCTGCAGAGATATGTAGACTTAAATAGAGCCATAAAGTGAACAAAATGAAAATTCCTATGTGCTTGTACGGTGGCTTTAAATGCACGAAATAGGTACATTGATTGGTTTATCGTCAACTGACGGTTGAATTTAATTGTATTTTGTTCACAGACAACTGTTCCTGTTCCAACGACGTGGATAGATACGGTCGTGCACCGGACACACAGTGTGACACAAGGTGTTCTGGCGATGCCAGCGCCCTCTGTGGAGGAGACTACCGCTATTCTGTATGGAGGACGTGGGGTAAGATGGGTGACACACAAACACGAAGTTTCCCAAACAAAAGGTATCTGTAGAAATGGTCAGAAATTCTTAGTGAATTCTTTATTACAGCATGTTTTAGATATTCATAAAAATAGTGTCTGTCAATTGTTAACATATAGTAAACAATATAGTAAGACGAAAAATAAAAACATAATACAATGAAATACCAAAATCTCACTCTTTCTTTTGCGCTGTATCAGAAGTACGTTGCCCAGCAGTGCCCTCTGTTGGCAATGCCTCGGCCTCCAGCGTGAACAGGGACCACAATGCCCGGATCACGTACAGTTGCCTTCCAGGCTTTCAGTGGTCAGCGGGAACTCTGGAGGAACACAAATCCATCACCTGTCAAGTCAATAACTGGACAGCCACGCCCCCTGCATGTGAAGGTAAGGAATTGAAGCACTCAGCAAATATATCACAGGTTTTTATAATCAACGTTTATAAAATACGACGAACCACCATTTACGATCGCCTTCATAGCACAACATATAAGATAAATTCTCACAATTCATAAACGTAATAATAAAGACTTGAATAACTCCACCCACCATGATTAAATTATAAAATGTTGCCCAATATTTATATACAGGTTTGAGGAGATATTGCTTTTTTTAAATTATGCACATTTACAGGGGCGGATTGAGGCCGTCTTCGGGGTATTCCAGAAGACGGTCAGATTTTTAAGTTTATTTTTATGTTTTGACGGATATCTAAATTTTTTATGTCGGAAGACGGTCAAAAATGGAGAATGGATTAACAAAGATTATCATGAAGACTGTCTGAAAATAGCTCTGGATCCGCCACTGATTTATCTGTTGTATAATATTACCATTTTCTGGCAGCTGTGCAATGCACTGGGAACCCAGCGGCAGTCTCCAATGCCACCGTGACGCAGTCTGGCCACAGATACCTAGATGTCGCCACGTACACGTGTATAGGGAACCACGCCTTCCAGGATGGAACTTCCACGAAACAAGCGTTTTGCTTGAGCAGCGGGCAGTGGGATAACACTAGCGTTCCATCTGCCTGCGTTCGTAAGTAGATTTAGAGTGCAGGGGAATGGTAATATCTTGCTAATAATAACGCGATAATAACAATAAGCAATCAATATTGAATTAACCTTATGTCTACCACCACGTGTAGTACTTGGTGAAGATAATTTGTTTTCCTATTTACCAGTTCATCAATGCCCGGCGGTGTCCACCAGCCTTTCTCACACCACGGTCAACTCGAATGACCACGGGGCGGGGGCGGCGGTGAGGTACGAGTGTTTTCAAAACGCCACCTTCAGTGACGGCAGCTCCGTGAGGACACGCCGTTGCCTCGTGTCCGGACACTGGGACAGTACGGAGGAGGCGTGTGGTAAGGGTTACTGTGAGTTGTCAACGCACCAGTTTGGTGGGTGGGCTAAGGTGTGTTTACATATTGCAAATGAAATCGACACTTCGCAACTTGAGCCAGGCGGCATGTATCAGGTAAGCTCATCCTACATGTAGGAGGTAAACCAAAATCGAAATCCACTAGTGCCGAAAACAGAGCCGGCCACACTGACGTGGTCTGGGTTTAGCATGAACTTCAACTCCAACTTCTCCTACCAGTAGACGGTCGTTCCTACTGTAGGTAAGATCAGGTAAGTAGCTAACCTCCGTTGCCATCAATCGCCAATGGATAGGGGGCAGAGAGTGGACAGTGCAACACGTACTACACAGCCTACAGTAAACTCAAAACTAGTTTAACGAATCTGTAAAAGTTTTATTGATTGTGATAAAACTCTCTTTAATTTACACCAGAGCGTTTCAGTAAGTTTGCATGTGTTGTTTCGTTCTGTATTGATATGTCTATATTCAACCTCGCCATAATCAAAGAAAAATACATATCAGTGCCCAGCTGCAGGACATCAGCAAAAAGGTAGGAACATTTCCTAAATCCATTAACTCAAGCTATACAGATCCATTTAATTACAGATGTCAATTTTCTAATCGTCATTTTTTCCTTTTCGTTATTCTTTCTTTCATACTTTAGTTTGTTACTGGTGTCTGAGGTGTGGGTGTTTTTATAATACAACAACTCAACCAGTGGGATCCGAGAGAGAGAGAGAGAGGACGAATCATTGAGTTTTTTTACTATAGCTGTGCGATTTTGTGCATTTAAAAACAGTTGCTTGATAGCAGGACCCAGGTAAAAAATGGCAGTTGGTCTAAAGCCTTAGTTCTCGTTTACTCCAACCCAGCACAGACCTTAAGGAGTCAAATAGTAGTCGTAAATGTCCGTCTAAACTTACAATGGGGGTCCAGGGAGGGCACGGCGGGGACGCACTCTTCTCTTAGCTGTAAATATAAACCCCTTCCTCCTTCACCACCTTCAAAGAAAGTGCAAAGCAGTTTAACGAGCGAAACTGAGGGTCCGTGTAACAGAGAGTCCACCCTCCATTTTACTATACAGGTTAGGGTTAGCATAACGTAAGTGGGTCAAAATCTTAGGCCAGGCTTACAGTGCAAAGTTATAGGAACCGGACTCTCTATCATGGGGGGACTGTCTGACACGGCTACTCATACAGGTGGCAGTATCAATAGCCCGAATGGACATACCCCCCTGTACCTGTCTTAGTCGTTGGTCTGTTCAAAGTCACACATAGGGAGATCTTCAAAACATGTCGCTAGTCAGATGACCATGATGCAGCTTGGACTTGTTATGGAAACACAATATACTATGATGCAGTCACCGGACAGCTTGGACTTGTTATGGAAACACAATATACTATGATGCAGTCACCGGACAGCTTGGACTTGTTATGGANCCACCCTCCATTTTACTATACAGGTTAGGGTTAGCATAACCTAAGTGGGTCAAAATCTTAGGCCAGGCTTACAGTGCAAAGTTATAGGAACCGGACTCTCTATCATGGGGGGACTGTCTGACACAGCTACTCATACAGGTGGCAGTATCAATAGCCCGAATGGACATACCTGTCTTAGTCGTTGGTCTGTTCAAAGTCACACATAGGGAGATCTTCAAAACATGTCGCTAGTCAGATGACCATTGTTATGGAAACACAATATACCATGATGCAGTCACCGGACAGCTTGGACTTGTTATGGAAACACAATATACCAACCAGGATACTGCGTGTCACGTCACACCCACACTGTGGAAATCAGTGTTCATATCCTCACTGTTCAAATATACATGTTGATAAATCAACATTAACACTGCTGGCCATAGATCATCACAGTGGACTGATGTGAATGAGTATGAAGAAGAAATTGATTTGATTTGCCTGATACAAACTATACTCGCAGTTTGTAAGGGCTATGGACATTAAATGCGAGAAAATATGCAATTTTGTGACTATTTTCAGCTTAAACCATGTTTTATGTACATGTACTGACTCGGTGTTTTTATCAACTTGTCACTGCAAAAAATATCGCTGAGGTCCATGTTAATTTTTTATTTATGAGAACAAAACTGCTGCTATTATATGTCTTGTTGGCAATGTTGTGAATAAATCCAAATAATAAAGGACATTTCAATATATGAATTTGCTGAGTAAAATAGATACAAATTAGTTAAAAAAAGAGTTGTTGTTGTTCTATTTCCACTGTTGTGTTTGAGAGCAAGTCTGGGGGTTGTATAGCAGTTACATTCAAAGTGAAGGCGGTGGTATATATAAGCAATCTATGTTTCAAGTACTGTGCGTTTGAACGATTGCCCATCTTTTGTTTCGATTAGTTTCAATAGAAAAATATATATTAAACGCGTTTTAAGATGGCTCAAAACCAAACTGATTGCCACGTGTTTCAGTACAAACCACCGTGACTATCGTGACTACAGTCTCTCATTTTTTGATACGACGAAAGTCATTTGTGTTTTTAACATCATGGTATAACTAAATGAACATGTGAATTAATGGTCAAATCCACCCTTACCCAGGGCCTACAGAGAACAGACGCCGAGGCCAGCCTTACCTGCAGGTCAGAGGGTCAACCAGGACAGTAATTCAGCGGTGGATGGTGTAGAACTAATTGATAACCAAAACGTAAATGGCAACCTGATATTTATACGAGTACCCCAACATGTTCATTTTTGTAATTTTCAATTAATCACTACGTTTAAATCCTCCAATTATTAATATATATAAAAAAAGAAGTTGAAATAATGGATCTTATATAAGATAGCATTTCAAGTTCAAACTTTTACTTTTTACACAAGGCAAGCCCAATAACACGCCTCATCGTCAAAGGCATTCATCGTCTCGCGCTTTCGGCTGCCCTGGCACCGTCAAATCCGAGTTCTGGCAGAGCACACTCATGTTCATTTTGCCTCTTTTTTTCCCTTAAAACCGATTTTAAACAACAAATCAAGTAATGTTTTTTCTTTATCGTCCGCGAAGACCCAAAATCCAGTTTACTGTAAAACTGTTAGCTCATTTGACAGTTCAGTCACACGGTGACAGCCTGCAGATTGCGATTTGTGTGTTACTTGTGAATTGCGCGAGTCCGTAGCATTGGGGTTCCGCTTTTAAAAGTGGCCTTTAACGTGTCCTGCTAAAGTCTGCACTGATTTAAAAATTCTAAATCGTCTGTTCCAGGACTAGTCTACCCTCCATCAGGGTCACATATTGATTTTTCTCTAGATATTTACAGATGCATGTATGTCAATGGTTAATTAATAGCACTTTTGTACACTGTGTTTCTTACTGTAAGCGCCTAAATGACTCTCTCCCCCTGTTAGAGGGTAGGACTGGCCTGCAGAGATAGAGAAGAGTGGTGAGAGGGCAATGTGGACGACACAATTATAATTGTGACACTATACTATGTGACTGAAGACCCGAATGCTGTGTCCAGTGCTGATCGCATCATCTGTCATGTATATGATTCATACTGATATAAGAATGGGAAATAAAATAATCACTACATATGATGGGTGCGTGAAGAACATCCTTTGGCTATTTTAATGTCTATAACAAGAACAACTGACTATACATATATCTGCCTTTTTGCGCACTAATAATGTCTTTTCATGAAATGAAACAACAGGAAGTTGGCCTGTAACAGCTAAGTGAGGGAAGACGCAGAGAGTTTATACATGTATCTAGGGACAACATAACTGACACTATATATATAGTAACAGCATACCATCACCTCCACAAGACGGGTGGTAGGTGAGTCGAATATCTAAGATATATGTCAGATTTACTCACTTGACAGTTCCACATTCATATCGATGGTGTTCACTGCTTCCAATGTCCAGTGTCTCACTCTGACGCATTGGTTTACTTTGCATTTGACGAGATGCTACTTATACAGCACCATGTCAATGTACACTAACATGAATGTTGTTCATAGAATACCTCTTGAACTAATTGTCGAGCCAGTTAATCAAACTGATGCATTCTTAAACATTCAGGCAGTCAGAACACGACCGACCAACTACAAATCCAATCATACAAGATATTCACTTGCTACAGAACACGTTAAAAGTTCAGTTCGTAATAAGACATATTGTAAAAGTGGGCTCAGGTCGAGATGACTTTCAGACACGGTCACCTCGTTGGTTTTAATTGTTTAAATGTGCGGGGTTATTAGATATTCGTCGAAATCTAGGTAGCCATCACCGTCTTTGTCCATTTCAAACAACAAATCATGAATCTCTGCGTTACTCATCCCTTGACCAAAGTCCAGTTCTGCCTCAATCAACTCACCTTCAGATAAGTAATTATCTCTGGAATTTAAATGACAAACTGAAAGACGGCCACATATTTAAAGGAAAACTAAACATATTCAACATTATAAAGGTGTATGTTTTTAATCTTAATGTAATCTTAAATCAGAATCAAGATTTTTTCGTGGCTCACAGGGACATTTCCCTCTTACTGGCCAAATTAATCGACTCCATGCTGGCGAATGACGGCCCAAATGAAACCAAATATAATAAAGCAAACAATAATATCAAGTATTTCGGTAATACAAAGTAATTTTACCCGTCTGTATCAATATCATTAAATACATGTCTTAAGATAGCTTCATTGTAGTCTTCTGGGAAGTCGTCATCTGGTGAGTTACTCTCCGGCACGGCACTATCTGCCAAAGGATCATCCGGTAATGAAGTATCCGGCAAAGGAGCATCCGGTATAGCAGTGTCTGGCAAAGGATCACCCGGTACAGGATTATCACGCTTTTCTTTGTCACTGGAAAATGACGTATTGTTGCACACCTAAAAAGTACGCTTTCTGCACATATGCATCAACATATACAGTATGTCGACTTTTAGTAAGTGCTTTAGATTGTCAGTAACTCAACCGGATACCAAAAATGTATGTGCGCTGATGTGTGGGTGATTACAGTATTTGATGTGTGTGTGTGTGTGTGTGTGTGTGTGTGTGTGTGTAATGCAATATTTACCTAAGCAAGGTTCCTGCACAATCACTTACAGATATCCCTGTGGTGGTGTCGCGGCCGGCTGTACAGCCTTCGGCACAACTACAATCACCCCGGTCACGAGGTATAAGACCACTGTAGTCACACCAGAGCGTTGCCTAAAACGAAAGAAAAGGCAGCATATTCATCACCTGGTGACCATAAGGAAACCAAGCTTGACACATTGTTGGTTGGTAAAATACCCTTCCTTAATTAGGCCAAAAAGCAAACAGACAACCAACAGCAATAACAAAAAGAACTTAACGTATAAGCAGTATTGATAAGGTTAATAAAAGAAAATAAAAAGGTTATTTATGTAACGTACAGCGCAGCAGTCCAAACCAAGGTCGTCATCAGAGTGACAGCCATCTGACAGGGTTTGTTTTACATTACTGGCCATGGAGACATAGCAGACAGCAGTGAGTGTTGCCGCAATCAGGAGGCTCATGTCCTGGAATTGTGATATTATGCAAAATATTCATTTTTAAATATCAAGATAAAGAATACCAAGTGGTATTTGCCATCTGTTTTTCCTTTACATCGCAGAGGATGACGTCTGAAAATGAAAATTTGACGTATAGCACATTTTCTCAACCTTACGTCTAGTTACTCATTGCAACATGCTATTCAGTCAACTTATCCAAGTCAAAGTTTCTTTCGTCAATGGAATACATCGTTTGCCTGTATTTTAAAACGAACGTTAAAAACCATCCTCTCAATAATCATTCACATCATCAAAGACTTTTTATGACGTCCCACCAGCTGTAAATTACTTACCAGTCACTATGAAAGCACAATTTTAAACTACGGGATGTTGCTCTTTTTCTGATCGATTGGACAAGACGCGAATGGTTAAACACCACTACGGTACATGGCACTACATTATGTAAATAATGATTTCATTCTAGGACCAATGAATCCAGATTGAATGTAAAAATATAATAACTGAGACACAGAATCATATGGGACTGACATGCTTTTATATTCTATGGTATTAATCAAAGTGCGATCAAAGGCTGAGTGATGTAGACAACTACAAAGCAAGATGACGCCGAAATCGCTGAGTCAGATATGCTGGTATCCACTGGTCTCAATAAGCTGAGATGGATGCATTTTGTTGTTGTATGAAGTGTACGCCAGCTATCAACATTTCTTTAGTGAAGACAACATGTCGTCCCCTGTGCTTGCTATTGAGGAGGGATGCCCAACGAAAACGTCAATCTTAAGTTGAAAAAGAGCAAAACAAATTTAAAGGAAAATGGCCGCCTACTCTTAATAGATTCACTATATATGACCTAGGGCGCAAATATTGAACGGATCATTTTCAAAAATGTAAGAAAATCTGAGGTAACGAAGACATGCTTTAAAAGTAAAGGAAAATATGACAAGGGTGTGACCTACAATCAAGTGCCAGTGTTTGGTTTCATATTTGTTCGGTTGGAAGATACATAAATGATCCTCTAAAAATGATGTTCGATTGATCAAAGTCATTATTTCGCCTTCTCACTGGTAATAAGCCTTTCAAGAAAATTCCCTGGCTCTGGATTGTGTTTTTCTTTAACAGATTTATTTCTACAATAAAGATATACATAATAAATACATTCAAAGCAGGCGGCACGTCGCCACAGCATTATGTGCTCGCCTGCGTTAATATAATTCATAGAAACAAAATGAATTAATTATGATTATATAGAAGTAATGATAATAATTGTGATAACACTAATTAGTACTCATTGTTGTAAAGGAGAGCAACAGGGAAGGGGGCATAGGCACGGGGCGATATATGCGGGAAGTGATATATTAGTTGATCAGGAGAAGGAGGGTCGGGAAGGTGAACTTATGAAAAGCAATTAAGCATTATCAATTAAGAACGTCGAGACAATATCGAGGATTTTATCGTTCTGTCCATTTGTTAAAGTTTTATGGCCGTGTAGAAACAAAGAAATCTTGTCAAGCTGCGTTCTAAAGTATGTATTGTTAGCACCCAGGACATTCTGAATAGACCAATGGAAATCACGATACTTCAATTGCCTCAGTGGGCACTGGAAGAAAAAGTGGCGTATAGTCTCAGGTTTCCCACAAGAGCAGTTCGGAGAATTTACCGAGTTCCAGTTATGGTTATATAATTGGGATTTGAACAATAGATCTACACGCGCGCGGTTTAGATATTTTTCATTCTTTCTTTCTAACTTTAGGGTGGTGGTAGATAACGAACCAGAAAAAGAGTTCGGATTTCAGATAATGCTTAAAGTAACGCGATATTTGGGGTGTACTTTTGTTCGAGACTGAGACTATTCCATGAAGACACGAGTAAGTATTCATGACCCTGGAATGTAAACTTAGCTGGGATAATGTAATCTCTGTACGAGGACTCTCTTGTTTGCGGTGTTATTGGATTTTTAAAAGACAGGAAATCTTTAAGAATATATGTAGGAGCCATGCTGTGATGGATAGTGGACATAACCTTTTTTGCATGCATTAGCCTACGGTTTTCCAGAGTAGCCCACTTCAACTCTGTAAGTACTTAAATTGTGTTCGAACCGGGCAGAGCACCCAAAACAAGCAGACCAGCTTGATAGTGAATAGAAGATAGTTTAGAAAGATTCCTTTTAATTGCTGAGTGATAGAGGATGTCGCAGTAATCAAGCAGAGACAGAACGTAAGCGTTGTATAGTATATTCAAGTGCCTAGATCTGAGCCTATGGGACAGGGACTTGAGAGGATTCAGGACCTTTTGGGCCTTAGTAGCTAAATAACTTATATGCTCGGCACAAGACAGTTTTGAATCTAGTACGAATCCGGGATGTTTGTGGAATGATTTCCGGGGTATCGTTAAATCACATAATATTAGATTTCTATATTTATTTGCTGTAACCTTGGTAGAGAATATAACCTCACAACTCTTATCAGGTTTTAACTCCAGTTTCCACCTGGAAGACCATTCCTCAAGCTTCAAGTTGAGAGATCAGATTGAAGTGCATCGTGCAACTGGCTGTCAGAAGGAAGAGAAGATTGAAAAATAGACGTGTCATCAGCATATAGAAAACAATCTGATGAAAGGTTGTCTGCTAGATCATTTATATATAGGAGAAAGAGTAGAGGACCGAGAATGCTGCCTTGTGGAACACTAGTGTTGATATAAGATTCTTTGGAAGATTCAGATAGCGTACTGTTAATACGGACTTTGACTTTTCAATCGCTCAAATAAGAGGATAATAGTGACAGTAGGTTACCTTTAATACCATAGGCTGACAGCTTGTATAGTAATAAACTATGCGGAACTTTATCAAAAGCGGCTGAAATATCAAGAAATATTCCTTTTACATCTCGGCACTTTCTAAAATTAGATCTAATCAAATTTTGAATTGCCAGTAATCGGTGTTCAGTGCTATGACCCTTAAGAAACCCAGATTATTTTTCAAACAATAAGTTATTATTAAGGACATGATTAATCATCCTTTTATAAATAATGTTTTTCCAAAATATTTGATAAGACGCTCAAAAGTGACACTGGTCTATAGTTATCTATGCAACTTCTGTCACCTTTCTTATAAATCGGGCAAATAAACGCCATTTTCCACAGGTCAGGGTAGGTGTTAGATTGAATAATATAATTAAATAAAATACATAATGGTTTCACAACAACGTCTTTGCTTAGTTTTAACATTTTTATCGTCACCGAGTCCGGACCACTTGCCTTAGATGCATCCATATCATCGATTATTACTTTGATCTCAGTGTCATTGAAATCAATTTCTGACAAAATTGCATTTGTTTTATCAGGGAAGTTAACTAATGCTGTGGATGTCACTACATCGGAATGGTACCTTTCTGAAAAATAATCTAGAAAAACTTTGGCCTTTTCTGAATCTGTGATCGCAATTTGACCAGTCTTATGGTTTAAAAGGGTTGGAATTGACGTAATGTATTTTGAATCCATAAGGCTTTTAATAGTCGGCCAAAATAATTTTCGACCATTGCCAGGTTTTTCATCAAGGCTTTCAATTAAACTGTTAAAGTAGGATTCATTCGTATCCCTTATAAGTTCCTTAACCTGCACAGACTGAGTATCATAACACAGTATATTGCCCGGAGTAGGAGTGGTTTTCATTTTAGCATAAAGTTTCTTTTTTTTTATTTATTTCATGTTTTAGTCTATCAGAGAACCAAGGTTTATCATTCGTTTTAATACTTCTTACTTTTTGCGGAATATGCTTCTTAAAGATAAGGAGTAATCTTTCAGTAAAATTTCTAGTCATTTCGTGTATATTATTTTGAGATTGGAAAACGGTATCCCAATCAAAGCTTATCATATCATTGTGGATTGTGGTTCTTAATTTTGTTCTGATAACATAGGCGGTGGTTTTAAAAGCTGTTCAGCTGAGAGAGATCTGTTCAAATTGATATTACAGTCTTCACCTCTAAAATACTGCCGTTTCGTCCGTCATCAGATAAAATCAACCAATACGCCATGATGTGTTTTTATGTGGCAGCATTACCTTCTAACATGACGATGTTAATGTCTGCAATATCTATGAAACATATCCTAACTTATCAACCCACTTAACCCGAATGCCGTTACGAAAATAATTTGCATACGTCCCTTTTTACCGGTAAATTTAATTGCAAGTGACATCATTATCGACACGCATACGCTGATTTTTTTTACCATTTATCTGACAAGTGACAAGAGGACAATAATAGATACGGTGTGGTTAAGATTTAACCCATTTTAATGATAAAGATATCCCTAAGCCCCAGATTTACATAACTGATAATAAATTCGTCTAAGCATAGAAATCGCTGGGAGTCTATATGACTTCACATTGAACGAAAACGTAGATAAATTCACAAAAAAGAAGCATAGTTAAAGGGATAATAACTCTTCATATGAGATCTATATTTCACAATAAAAACCTTGTGAATAACTCATAGAAATATAATATATTCTGTTTTACCACAAAAACAGCAGTTATAGCTTTTATTCTGATATCTGAACTTGTCTTTAGACCACGTGACCTCCATTGATGTCTATACTCTGTTAAAATCTCTTAAGAGATTTTAACAAAAAACCAAACTTTTTAGAAAAAAACCAGGGACTAACTTTGAATGTAAAAATGGATTCATTAACCATTGGTAAGTATGGGAAAATTGTTGTTTACTCCAGGAAAATTCATTTTTTGGCCGAAACGAAGAGTTATTATTGCTTTAATAGTTAACAATTTCTCATTTATTATCATCATTTATTTACATGTACATAGTTGTGTGCGACTTGCGCCACTTTATAACATCCAATTCATTTTGAAGAAATTAGGAAAGGGTACATTTGTCACATGTTTANGATAAGACGCTCAAAAGTGACACTGGTCTATAGTTATCTATGCAACTTCTGTCACCTTTCTTATAAATCGGGCAAATAAACGCCATTTTCCACAGGTCAGGGTAGGTGTTAGATTGAATAATATAATTAAATAAAATACATAATGGTTTCACAACAACATCTTTGCTTAGTTTTAACATTTTTATCGTCACCGAGTCCGGACCACTTGCCTTAGATGCATCCATATCATCGATTATTACTTTGATCTCAGTGTCATTGAAATCAATTTCTGACAAAATTGCATTTGTTTTATCAGGGAAGTTAACTAATGCTGTGGATGTCACTACATCGGAATGGTACCTTTCTGAAAAATAATCTAGAAAAACTTTGGCCTTTTCTGAATCTGTGATCGCAATTTGACCAGTCTTATGGTTTAAAAGGGTTGGAATTGACGTAATGTATTTTGAATCCATAAGGCTTTTAATAGTCGGCCAAAATAATTTTCGACCATTGCCAGGTTTTTCATCAAGGCTTTCAATTAAACTGTTAAAGTAGGATTCCTTCGTATCCCTTATAAGTTCCTTAACCAGCACAGACTGAGTATCATAACACAGT